CTACGAACGATAATGGATATGTCCTCAGTCACATAAATACAGTAGTAAATACTGTATGTTGGTCTGCAGTTGGAAATTTGTCTCCAGCTATGCTGGTCACTCCTGTCTCCGACAGAGAGGATCCCCAGCCGAGGCTATGTCGAAGGGCAGAACCTCGTCTCGGGAAATAGCCACCCGATCCCGTTTTGTACGGGTTCTACAGGGAATTTTTGCTCGAGCGTACGGGCTCGGATACTCCACATTAAATTCGGCCTGATGCCACATCTGATTGCGTGGAGCGGTTGGTAGATATCCTGCAATTGAGGATTCATTATGGAATTCACTTGATTTGCTTCTAGCAGTTGTCTACTTCTACGCGCTACTGGCGAATCTTATACGTGTTGTTCTTGTCCTAAGTATTATTGTTCATTACCAACTTTCATTTGATTCAGTAACCTTCCTTCCAACACATAGATAGATAGATAGATAGATAGATAGATAGATATGAACTTATATATATATATATATATATATATATATATATATATATATATATTGTGTGTATTTAAGGCAGCATCTTTTCATTCATACACGCTTCATTAAATAATATAGACAAGTGTTGTATTTTTATTTTCTGTAAATTCTTTCATAACGTCTGATAAGTTTAATAACATTATCGTTGAACGAAGAAAGAAATTCACAATATTGATCCATATTTTGTTTAATACAATCTAAGCTTTCGGCTTACATGTGTGACGTCATGAGATGCGGTGCGATTTTCGCATCTGGCGTCTTATATGCACGTGTTTATTGTTGCTTGTTGTTTATTATCACCTATGTAAACAATGACAGACTATCATCACTGTCTTGTCCGTATATTGCTTAATATGTTGTAGTTGACATCTTTGATAATGGCTTATGTAATCCGAAAGCTTAGATTGTACTAAAAAAATATGGATCAATATTGTGAATTTCTTTCTTCGTTCAACGATAATGTTATTAAAGTTATCAGACGTTACGAAAAAAATTACATGAAATAAATAGACAACACTTGTCTATATTATTTAATGAAACGTGTATATATATTTTCCGAAAATGGGAAAAACAATTGTTTTTTTACCAAAATCAATTTGAAAACACGATTAAGACACATCGTGAGAATGAAAGGGGGACAACTCACCCACGAAAATGTAAACAAAAGAGCATAGCATGATCAAAAAAAAGCCGAACTTGACGAAAACAAAATTTTATCGTCTAATGTTCATATTATTATATAAAAGAGGAAAGATCAAAGTATTTTGGGGCTATTTTTTTTACATTTTTAATCGTTCCTAGCACGTCTGAAATTTTCGTTAAAAATATTGTTTTTTTTGGTAAAAAAAAAGGACAAATAATCAATCATTTTTTTCGATTTGATAAAAAAGATTAAAATCTTACTTTGATATTCTTTTAAAAATCAGTTATCATTTTTTCAAAACTGATTTTAATAAAAACAGAAAATATACTGTTTATTTAAAATATTTTGAACCAAGCTCAACTTAGCTTCTGCGCCGAAAAAATGTAATTTGAAAATAAAACAAAGCAGGTCATAACCTTTCGCGTCGCTTGACGATTGACGAAAGGTACATTCATGACGTTTAGATAACTTACGGGAGGATAATTCTTTCTACGGATGGAAGGAAGTGAAATTATTTAAGTGAACAAATTATTTACCTCGTTACTTTTAAGGAAAACTTTCAGCGCTCTAATTTTTTTTTTTTTGTACTTAGCTTTCATTTTTACGTTTACGATGCTTTATGGAAAATATAAAGAAATTAAAAAATAATACTGTTAATAGTGAGATTAAATTTCATAAGAAAAAGGTATCTAATTAATTTAGGTACCTTTCTTATGAAATTTTATCAGAAGTGTACATAAAATACTATAATTTTATGTACATTTATTACATTTTACAGTGTTATTTGTATTTCCATTCATTTTATTAGTAATTTTGATATTTCATTTATGGAAAAATGTCATAACTGAGATTAATATAAAAATAAGATCATATAAATTAAAGTTTAGCAGTAGTTAAATTTCATAAGATGATACTGTTACTTGTAGGTACCCTTCTCAGTTGAAATTGAAAACTCAAATTAACTTCTCCATACGTGTTTCGCAAAAGTAAAGGGCTTAACAGCGGAGAACAATGATGAACTCAAATAATGCAACTAAATTGTATTCTGGTTGGTCTTCCGTACTTGATAATTACTGTCCGACTATAAACACAAAAATACATTTCTTAATTACCATGGCTAATCTGATTGGTCCAAATTATACAATTTTCAAAGCGCTAGACAATGACAATCTCACACGGACATTTTGAAAGGTTGATGTTGCTTTTAACTAATGTTAAAATATTTTTTAAAATTCAATTTAAAAATTTTGAAAAATCTTTTAAAATTAAAGAAATAAGAAATAATTGTATTAAAATTCAATTTTCATTGAAAAAAAATTTATGCTTTCAGAAAATATTGTCCATATTCATAAAAACAAATTAAAACAAATAAAAGCATTTGAAACTAAATAATATATTTGTTTTATTGAGTTTTGTATGTTACAATTCACAACTGATTTTCAGGTACGTTGGCCAAAAAAAACAAAAAAAAAAACATAATTTGCATTCTTCAAAGCCTTGTGCTTTTAACTATTGTAATCACTAAAACCGAGGGTCTCGAATTTCTAGAGTTTTTCATAAAATTAGTTATGGGGGTGTTAATAAATATAAAAAAATATTTCTACCATGATTTTAATAAAAAAAAAACTATATTTATAATAATTTCGATCATCTGTGAATAGTTTCTGAAAGTTTCATTAACATCTGACAATTATTTTTATTTTTGCAAGATTTTCCAAATTAATGTGTTTAATACAAAAAACGCGCTAAAAATTATCTATGTTATTTACTACCCATTGTTGCGACAAAGAGAAACAAGGTTTTTTTAAATCAAAATTTAGAATATTCTAAAAAGATGGAAAAATTTTTAAAAATAATTTAAAAAATAATTTAGTCTATCCTCTTCATAAAAACATAAGCATTTTGATGATAAAATTTTGTTTTCATAAACTTTGGCGTCTTTTTCATCAGACTATGCTCTATGTTTTAGCGATTCCGTGGAGTGACTTAGGTTAAAAAACCCAGGTTGTGTGTGTGTGTGTGTGTGTGTGTGTGTGTGTGTGTGTGTGTGTGTGTGTGTGTGTGTGTTCCTTTATATATGGGATCGGATTTCTTACATTTTTCAGCCGATAAAACAAACATCCACTTTTTTTTTTTGGCAGGTAGTATTTCTTATTGTCTTGCACACTTTTTTCTTTATTTATACATTCAGAATGCTTTAAAAATTCCATTTACAAGACAATTGTTTATAATAAAATTCTAATTCTATTCAATCGGGGGACTCATCATAACGATTGAAAACAATGTTTTTGTTTGATTTTGGGTTTGACCAATTCGTAAAAAAAAAGACTAAGACATGCGTGTCCGTCAACCTAAACAATAATCTAACGATCTCTACTGATTGTACGAATCGAAAAATCGGTTAATTCTTTATCTTTAGGGAAAGATAATTCCACGTACTTTAGGGCCGTCTTTATAATTCCCTTTGCAATTTGTTACAAGGCAGATCAATAAGGCATTGGTTCTATTTGAAATTAATTCAATATTTAAAAGAAAGTATTAAGAAATAATTTAAAAATGCCGACGTAAGAAATCTGATAGACAAAAAACAACAATATTTCGAAGATGATAATTATTAAGGAAAGAACACAGTACTTGTAATAAATTAATAAACCCAAATAAAGTTAATATTTTTTGTATTAGAAACAACGAGTGGAAAATATATTCAAATCAAAATTCTAATTATGAATCACCACAAGCAAAATATGCAATTTTTTTTACTGTATTCAATAAGTAAAAATCATAAATTGTAAAAGATTACAGAGAAAGGCTACCTACATTTTTCAACCGATTTCAACAAAACTTCGCTTTTTTTTTGGCAGGTAGTGTTTCTTATTGTCTTGCACATTTTTTTTTTTTTTATTTTTACATTCAGAATTTTTAAAATTCAATTTACAAGACAATTGTTTATAATAAAATTCTATTCACCAATCGATAGACTCATAACGATTGTAAACAATGTTTTTTGTTTGAATTTGGGTTTGACCAATTCGTAAAAAAAAAAAAAAAAAAAAATTAAGACATGCGTGTCCGTCAACCTTAAACAATAATGTTTGTCAATTTTATTTTTCAGTCTTTATGATGGTCGATACTTGATCTATCTCTTACTGTTACATCCCCGGGCAACGCCGGGCTCTACTGCTAGTATATATATATATATATATATATATATATATATATATATATATATATATATAAAATGGTGGTACTCGTTTGGAAAAACGTCGGATAGCTTACTTTTAACTTGTAGTAGAACAAATCAGTACCCGATGAAAAATGGGGAATAAAAAAGAAAGAACCAAGAATATTGAAAAAAGGCGAAAACAATCGCCCAGTGTTTAAGCTCCAAGTCCAAAGAAAAAAAGGTTTGCATGGCTCCTTATGATTACTTTATCTCAATGTACAAAAGGCAGGATATGTGTGTGTGTGTGTGTGTGTGTGTGTGTGTAAGGAATTCACGACCGCAATTTTCGACGGATTTGCACCAAAATTTACATGCACATGCTCCAAGTTAGCGGGAAGGCCAAGACCGACTTTGCATTTCCCAACTCTCATAGTGGAAATAATCGATTTTTTTCATGCTTCTACGGCACTTTTCATGTAGTTTGCGGCCATTTTATACTGGCCAGAGTGAGAGCTTATAGCTGGTTGCCACGAATAGGCAGGATGATTTTAATGGCCAGCGTGAGAGCCAACAGCTGACTGACACGAATGTTAACTAGCATGCCAAAAAAATATCGATAGCTGCATTCGTCACAAGTGGGATAAATTTAAATCTGCATGGCACTTTACTCCAGTTGGATCA